TTCTACTCTGCATTCAGGTCCACTACAGCCTCCGCCAACCTTCCCACAGTGACTTAAGGGTCCATTAAGTTATTGGGAGGATGAATAAAACCATCTAGCAGCTCTTCTAGGTCTGTTTTTGAAGCCACCTACATACCTCAAAAGATCACGTACTACTTTGTCAATATTATTTTGAAAATAATATATGTATAATATTTTCTCTGTCTTCCATTTTGATTCCAAAAAGCTTGTCTCTGCTTCATCACCGCCACATCTAGTCTGGTTGATGTGATACCAAATCAATGTTTAGTCCATCCATCTTCTAACACGCTTAATCCCAAGTGGAGTGGCGAGGGGTGCTGGTGTCTATCAATGGGTGAGAGGCGGGGTCCACCCTGGACAGGTTGCCAGTCCATCGCAGGGCAACACAGAGACAAACAACCATTCACACTCACACCTAAGGAGAATCTAGAGAAGCTGATTAACCTAACAGTCATGTTTTTGGACTGTGGTAGGAAGCCGGAGTACCCGGAGAGAACCCACACATGCTCAGGGAGAACATGCAGACTCCATGCAGAAAGACCCCGGGCTGGGAATCGAACCCCCAGCAGCCCAATCAATGTTTAGTTTATAATAAAAAAGAAAAAGCTTAAAGTTCCCTTCACAGATGAAAATGAATCAGCTCACGTTCATAGTTCACTTTTTCAAAAATGAACTAAGTTCACCAACCTATAAGTGAACCAGTTTAAGTTCATTTGGTGAATGAAGCCACAATCCTCCACAATAGAACTTCATATTTCCCTCTTTAAATGTGTGATCAGAATATATAGAAAGAAATGGAAAATCCTGGATGCAGTGAAGCCTTTATTTAGCTAAATGACACAGAACTTCAGAAACATTCAGGAACATTCAGGTTCTGCTGAAAAGATCTGGATCCAAATGATTTCTTCTGTTCCTCATTCAATAGCAGATATTTCCACAGATAGCCCAGATGCTTTAACTCCATGTGTGGCTTTAAATGTGCAGTGGGCGTGGCTGACAGACAGACTTGTTTGTTAAGTCACGGTGGGAACAGTTTGCACTAAAACTTGAGTTTTTTTCCGTCCCAGTCTTCCTGTGTTAGTTGATCAAACTCTGCAAAGCGCTCTGCTAACCTGGCATCAGAAATCCCAGCAGATGCATCTGAATGGAGCAGACTGGTACTAGCAGGAGACCTGCTGCTCTGTCAGGCTGTTTGCCGTAATAAGTGCCGTAAATCTGACGTTATCCAATGAAAAGTGTCGTTATCAACCGAAAGCCAATGTCAGCTGTGTGCGTCGCTAACTATCCTCAGAGTGAATGTTGCCCTTGTTCACCGTTCACTAAAACATGAACGTTTTCATTGATCTCCTGTAAAGTTCGCCCTCTACGCAGGGAAAGCGTAGATCATTCGCTCCGGTCACAAAAAAAACGCATTTGGTGTAAACGCACCTATGGGCTCCTTCCTAAGAGCTCCAATGAGAGCTCCTCTTCCTCTTCTTCCTCATCCTTCCATGGGTCCACAGTAGACCTCTATCCAGGGTAGGAAAACAGACGACGTCATAATTGATTTCTAGGTGCAGCCAGGGACCAGAGGGTGTCCGGTTTGGGAACCTCAGGAAACCATCTCTGCAGTTTGCAGATGATGTTGTCCTGTTGGCCTCATCAAACCAGGACCTTCGACATGAACTGGGGCAGTTTGCAGCAGAGTGGGAAGCGGCCAGGATGAGGATCAGAAACCTCTAAATCGGAATCCAATCCAATCTGGAGAAAGGTGGACTCCCTGCTTCAGGTCGGTGGAGAGTCCTTGTCTGAAGTGGAGGAGTTCAAGTATCTCTGGGTCTTGTTGACTAGTGAGGGACGGATGGAGTGTGTGATCGATAGACGGATCGGTGCGCCGTCTGCGGTGATGTGGTCTCTGTACCGATTGATCGACATTCCCAATCCTCACCTATGGTCATGAGATCTCCATAATTAGCGAAAGGACAAGATCGCGAATAAACGCTGTGAGTTTCCTTCACAGCATGGCTGGGCGCACCCAGATCAGGTGAGGAGCTGAGTTACCTGGGAGGAGTTCGGAGTAGAGTCGTTGCTCCTCCATGTGGAAAGTAGCCAGCTGAGGAGGCTCAGGCATCTGTTCCTGATGCCTCCCTTGAAAGGTGTTCCTGGAATGTCCAATTGGAAGGAGGCCTGCCAAAGGTCCAGGACACGCTGGAGGGACTATGTCCTCTGAGCTGGACTGGTGTCGCCTCAAGGTCCCCCAGAGCAGCTGGAGGAGGGAAGTCTGGACATCTCTGCTGACACTGCTACCTCCATGATCCGGATAAAGAGGAAGAAGATGGATGGATGGATGGATGGATGGATGGATGGATGGATGGATGTTGGATGGATGGATGGATGGATGGATGTTGGATGGATGGATGTTGGATGGATGGATGATGGATGGATGGATGGATGGATGGATGGATGGATGGATGGATGGAAAAGATCTATAAAAATGTCTGGAATAAATGGTCTGGTTAAAGCTCTCTGTTATAAACTGTAGGATGAGTTACGCTGCACAGTGAGGAATTAATGGGCGGTGCCAAACAGTCTGTCATGCAAAGGATTATGGGAATCCTTACAGCGGACATCAGAAGGTTCCTATGCTAACTTCATTAGTATAAGGAGGCTTCCTCTTCCTACCTCCTTCCTAACCGTCAGTACTATTCAGACGCTGCTCTTCCCCGGGGCCTAACTGTTCTCACTGATATTCTGATTGAGCCTCCATGCAGGGGGTTTCCTAAGGTAGCATGTTTTAATAATTAGCATAATACGCTAAGCTGTGCAGCTTTATTTACAACTACAATTTAATAGCATCGGTTTTTGGATTTGATCACATTTACCAGATTAGAATGATCTAACTTCATTAAAAACTGCCGAGTCGCTGCTTCCTGTGTAAACTTAGCATGTTCAGCCTGTAAAACGTTCCTGAACACAGAGCATCCTGATGGCAGAACGTTCAGAGCGCTTTGCTGAATTACAGGCCGAGCTTCTTTCATGGAAGGTTGAGGACCTGCCAAGTCTGAAACCTTATTATTATTATTATTATTGCCTTCAGAAACATTTATTTTATTTTTTTATATTTTCTGTCTTCACAGACGTCGTTGTTTTTCTAGGGACGCTCTTGTGTTATTGTTATGATAGCTAGACCCTCTAGAATCCACCGGAGCAGCCTTTACACTGTGGGTAGTAATGTGGGGAAATCAAGCTAGTCGTAACCAAGGATTAGTGGAAACGTTGCAGCAGGGATGCTAAGTAATGAAAAAGTTTTCCTCTGCTGCTGAGAGAAGCTTATGGTCCTGAGCTGGTTTGACCTCTGTGGAAAATACAGCAGCTGATAACTGTTCCAGGTTTTATCCAGCAGCCCAACAAAGCCTTGTTATTGTTTAGAAAACATGCAAATAGAAACGGACGAGTGGGTCCACCTCTTTGGAATGGGTTAGTTTCGGGTATTTTATGCTAACAAAGAAGCCAAACCACCCCCATTCCAAAGGGGGGGACCCGTTCGTCTGTTTCAATTTGCATGTTTTCTAAACTAAAACCAGGCTTTGTTGGGCTGCTGGATAAAACCTGGAACTAAACGCTATTTCTGACATTTGGAACTGATAAAGCTTCCCGGATGTGAAGACAAACGTCTTCAAACTTGGAAACAAAGTCCAGTGGATTGATTTTCAACCTTTTTGGAATGACTCTGACCTGGATGACTGAGGATCTTCCCCAGCATGTTAGACTGAGCTGCTTTGAACCAGTGAGACTGAGGAAAGGACCAGAGAATGTCTGGAAAAGCTGCTCTTTGGACGCCAATGCCAACTGATTGGAGCTGCCTTCCTTCTCCATGCAGGACTTTGTCAGAAGCAAAAATGGAGGCAGCTGCTGGTTATGGAGATGAAACCGATGATGATTAAAACGTTTATGAGACGACAGCTGAAGAAAAAGACGATGCTGATGTAAATCCAGGCAAGGACAGCTAAAGAGAAGAACTGTGCATCTCTATATAACAGCTGCAGCAGCACACAGTGTTCACTGGAAGTAATGGGAACAAACAAACTATGAATCTGACTAGGAGACTGGTGGGTCTCTGACTCTCTGAAGGAAAGCTCCTCTTTAAGTGAGTCAGAACCTTCCCTCCTCCAGGCCTCAAACCCTGAAACATTTCTGACAAAAGAATCACCAGAGAGCTGGATAACATTTCAGAGCCTTAGAACCGCAGATTAACTTTCATTAATCTGGAAGCAGAAAGACACTGATATATGTATGTGTGTGTATATATATATATATATATATACACACATACATATATATGTATATATATATATATATATATACATATATATATACACACATATATATATATACAGTATATGTATGTGTGTATATATACATATATATGTATGTGTGTATATATATATATATGTGTATATATATTTATATATATATATACATATATATATAAACACACATACATATATATGTATATATATATATATGTATATATATATATATATATACACATATGTATATATATATATGGAAGTGTATATATCTATGTATGTGTATATATGTATATATATCTGTATATACATATACTTATATGTATTTTCATTTCCTAAATGGTTTTCTTTTTCTGCCTTTTGTTAATTTGAACACTTTTAATTGTCTTTATGATTCCTCTGTTGCTTAAAACATTTTAATCACAGGGAAATGTTTTTAATTTTTTATTAGCTATCTCTTTAACTTAAAACTAAATAAAATCTCAAAATGTCAGAAATGGCATCAGAACGATAAAAATAAAAAAAGAATTTCAAACAGAAACGTTGGAATCATTTCTAAAACTAACTTTTAATCTAAAAAAACAAACTTATTTAACATTACCATCATTCTTATCATGCATTTAGTTAGTTTTTTTTTTTTTTCTTCAGAAAAGTGTCTCAGGTTGAATATGGGATGTTTTGTCTTTGCAGGAGGAGGAAGAGGAGCAGCAGCCAGAGGAGGAGTCAGTGAAAGAGGAGGCAGCGGCGCAGGAGTGAGCCGGAGGAGGCAGCAGCTTCTGCTCCAACCCTTCAGACTTTTCTCTTCATCCTGCAGCATATTTCTACTCAACCATCAGCAACCTCTTCTGCTCCACAACATCAGTAACCCAGAAGAAATGACGGGATTATTTTTGCTTTAATGCATAGATTTTCTACTTTTTATTGATGAGCCTGAAGAAATGATCCAGAGGAGAACAAGCAGCAAGTTTACTCCATATATGTCCGCCTGCATTGCTGACTCTTTCCATAAAATCTATTTTCCTACTTTAATGTTCAGGAAGTGTCCTGTTTACAAACGGAAGCTTTAGCACAGCATAGCGGAACGTTCTGCAAATGCTTTTCATTTCAAATTTAACTGGAAGATTTTTATTTTAACACGTTTTCTTTTGCTTCCTCCTCTTCAGCTGTTAGTTGTTTCCTAACCTGTAACTCTTACTGCTTCTCTAGTTTTTTTTTTTTTTACTTTGATATGAAATATTAAAGAAAAACACTTGAGTGGTTTGAGCTGCCTGAGGTTCAGATGTTTGGGCTTCACCTCAATCATCTCTCCTCAGATTTATCAGCAGATTTCTGCTGCTGAATATTTTCCACAGTTAAAAATCGCAGATCAGCTGCTCTTTGTTTCTGAAACGATGCAAAATGAATGAAATGATGACTTCATCTTGTTGACTGTTAGCCTCATGTTCCTTCAATGTGACCAGAGCCACTGTCCAGCTGGAGACCGTTTAGACGTTCAGTCCTATTAGAGAACAGATCGGATGTTTTCTTATATATTAGATACCAATGCACAATAAATATATTCAACTCTTCGTGTTTCATCTTCTTATTAGTGAGGAGATTCTTCAATGTTTTATCTATTTAAAAAAGTTGACTGTTTTAAGTGTTTTGTCCTGTTTCTCTCAGGTAGGCCTTGCAAAAGTATTCAACTTTTCAACCTTTTGCTACATTTCATGTTTCTATGACGGAGTATTAGGGCCACGCTAGAGACATTTTTTTTCTTCTATTTCAAGAATAAAGTCATTATGAGAATAAAGTCATCAAGCAGTTTCAGAAAGAAAGCTTGGAGCTCCGCCCAGCAGATGACGGCCGACCAGCTCCACCAATCAGCAGCCAGAGTCCACTTTGACATCCTGTCCAGTTTGATGCTGCTGCTAAAACATTTCCTGATTTGTCAAACCGATGCTATGTAGGGGCAGTGATAGCCATGCTAGTGATAGCCATGCTAACTATGTAGGGGCAGTGATAGCCATGCTAGTGATAGCCATGCTAACTATGTAGGGGCAGTGATAGCCATGCTAACTATGTAGGGGCAGTGATAGCCATGCTAGTGATAGCCATGCTAACTATGTAGGGCCAGTGATAGCCATGCTAGTGATAGCCATGCTAACTATGTAGGGGCAGTGATAGCCATGCTAACTATGTGGGGGCAGTGATAGCCATGCTAACTCTGTAGGGTCAGTGATAGCCATGCTAGTGATAGCGATACTAACTCTGTAGGGGCAGTGATAGCCATGCTAGTGATAGCCATGCTAACTATGTAGGGGCAGTGATAGCCATGCTAGTGATAGCCATGCTAACTATGTAGGGGCAGTGATAGCCATGCTAACTATGTAGGGGCAGTGATAGCCATGCTAGTGATAGCCATGCTAACTATGTAGGGGCAGTGATAGCCATGCTAACTGTGTAGGGGCAGTGATAGCCATGCTAGTGATAGCGATGCTAACTATGTGGGGGCAGTGATAGCCATGCTAACTCTGTAGGGTCAGTGATAGCCATGCTAGTGATAGCGATACTAACTCTGTAGGGGCAGTGATAGCCATGCTAGTGATAGCCATGCTAACTATGTAGGGGCAGTGATAGCCATGCTAGTGATAGCCATGCTAACTATGTAGGGGCAGTGATAGCCATGCTAACTATGTAGGGGCAGTGATAGCCATGCTAACTATGTAGGGGCAGTGATAGCCATGCTAGTGATAGCCATGCTAACTATTTAGGGGCAGTGATAGCCATGCTAACTATGTAGGGGCAGTGATAGCCATGCTAACTATTTAGGGGCAGTGATAGCCATGCTAGTGATAGCCATGCTAACTATGTAGGGGCAGTGATAGCCATGCTAACTATGTAGGGGCAGTGATAGCCATGCTAGTGATAGCCATGCTAACTATGTAGGGGCAGTGATAGCCATGCTAGTGATAGCCATGCTAACTCTATAGGGGCAGTGATAGCCATGCTAACTCTATAGGGGCAGTGATTGCCATGCCAGTCCAGGGACTGACTGCAGTTCTACTGTAAGGTGCCTTAGTCAAGGTCAATGACCGACATACCTGACATGGAGCAACCAGACCATGCATAGCGCTTTAGGTTAACAGAATATATTAATTAGGCTTCCAAAAAAAAAAAAATAATCCACTATCCCCCTTCTTTTTTACAGCTAGACTACTGGCTATCATTGAAAATCAGCTGTGCAGAAGCAGAAAACCTCTAAACTCTGCCGAGGAGCCGCCCTCTAGGACCCAAATTTGTCATGCTTGATTATTGGAATCATGGTGTTATTTATGTTTATTTAACCTTTTTAAATAATTTGCTTAAATATTTGAAATTAATAGCTTATTTTTTCAAAAATTTAATTTTACGTCAGATTTCAATTAGATTCAAGTTCTTCTAAAAGTTTATAGGCCTTTGAAAAGAGTCTGTGTTGTTAACGTCTGCAGCAGCGGCGGCGTCAGCGCTGACTCACTGCATATCCAGTAATATATCAGTGCTGCAATGACAGTAAAACTACTAATTCTATATATAATAGGTGAGATTAATATTTTCCAGAAGCAGAATTAAAAGCGATGAAGTCAGTTCCAGTTGTATGTATTCATGTCCACAGCTGGGAGTGAAGCTGCCTGCCAGCTGAATAACTCCATGGGTCATTTGTTCAGGGCCGTCATCCAGTCTCTTTTCATGGGGCTCCATATTTCCCCGCTAACGCCGAAGATGGAACCCTTCCAATCTTCCCTTTGCTCAGACATTAGCTGCTGCTCTCCATGCTGAGCATGTGGGGGTCCCGCATATCTTTACGCCCCCCCTCCCCTCCTTACACTGTATTTTTCAGATCTTCACATCCCATCAGCACTGAGACCTGGGACATCAGCGCTCACACATTCTGACATTAAGGCATCGAGGGGTGTAATTCCAATTTGTTTCAAAGGAACTCTTAATTTGCCCATTTCAAGGCCAGGCTGGAGGGAAAACCCTGTAAGACTGCTGAACCATGAAAGACATTATCTCAAGGCTTCAGATTTTGGTGAAAAGACATGTGGGATTGATGACGGGAGGCGTCGGTGCCTGCAGACGTTTGAGCCGGGCTCCCTGTGGTCGAGCTCACAGCATGCCATCTGAGAGCGATGTCATTAGGCACATTATAACAGCAATGGGCACATTAATGACAAAGTGGTCCGCTCTGCCACCCAGTGCTCCGCCAAACTCCTTTTTACACCCACAGAATACTAAACAGCTCCGGATGATGAGCCGAATGCGCAGAGCATGGAGCGCTGCTTAACTTCCAGCTCACATCAACAAAGGAACCATGGCTGACTTTGGCACTTTAACTTGGCTGAAGATGGTGGGTGTCCATATCAGAAATGCTTCTATCCTAATCAACGCTGATGTTGCTCCATTTTATCAGTATCTCATTATTCTGTTATGGTTTATATTTTACTCTGAAGGAAAAATCTGAAAGAAGTATGAACAGGATAACAAGCACAGCTGTTGTTTCTAAATTATAATTATCTCACTGTTTTCCACCTAAATGAAATCATGAATCATTTTTTCATGCAGATTTTACAATTTCAGTTAATATTTTCTAAATATGCAACCTTCAGTGTTCATTGGTTAGAGTTAATATCCTAACTGTGATGTTTAACAGGGACGGTGGGTCAGGTTGTTTCATTGTGCAAATAAACCAGCAAACTGGAACAAAGTAGTTCTGATCAACTGGGAGTCCTCACTGCAACAGCAATATAAATTAAGTAAAAAACATCTTTAATTAAGTTTATTTAAACTTCATTTGATGAGGTAAATAAGACGATTTGCCAATTAAATTTGTATTTTTACTCTTAAAATAAGATAATTAGATACTATGCACTTGAAATAAGACAATGCTATTATTACTAATTTGAAATGAAAATTTTCTCATTCCATTGGCAAAGCGTCCTCAATTCAAGAGAAAATGCACTTAATTTAAGAAAAATTTGCCTTTTTTTTTTGCAGTGCACCAACCATTTATTTATTAAACCTACATCTGTGTGCTAAATGCTCGCACCGCTTCAACATGATTACAGGAGACTGATTCTTCACATTATTTATCAACAAAACAAGTGTTAACTGTTTCCCCCTACATGTCGTAAATCCATTCATTTCATAAATCAACTTTTGTTTTTGTCTCAGTGAGCACAGGATACCTATTTTTAATGAAAATTCACAGCTAAACTGCAACTTTGGGACACAGAATCTCCAAATAAAGAAAGGAAATATGGATTTAAGATCTATTTTTATTAAAGATCCCAAATGAACTCGGCAAAGACAATTTATTAGGAAAGGAACATGTTTGTATGAAAAGCCAGTTTTAAAATGTAAAAACAAAACTCAAAATGTACTGTTTATGAGTTTACTAAAAATAAATTATCTATTTCAGTGGAAATCCAAATGATTACAATCTAACCTCCCTCCCCCTTCACTCAGATCGAGGACGTAATTTGAGGGGGAAGCGTCTGCTGCACTTTTTCAAATGTGTGTTTTGGTCCCCTTCTCATTTTACTGTCCGAAAAGCAATGTTATGCTACAATACACAGATATTCATCTAGCACTAGGACCCAGCGGAAAACCCCAGCTCAAGCTGAACCCTGCTACCCTGAGTTTACTGCGCCAACAAGCTCCTGATTGGCCCTCTGTGTTTTCTGGTGTGATTGGCTGTCAAACACGATGAAGTTAGTTATATTAAAATTACCAGCCTAGCTCCAATTCACATCATCAACACACTTTCCAGTTCACCAGATCATCCAGTCAGATTGATTCAAAGTTTTCTATCTAAGGAAAACCAGCTGATTGCATCGACTCATTGACTCTTCAGCAATCCCTCACACTAAGCATGCTTGTAGCGACAGTGGAGAGGAAAAACTCCCTTTGAACAGGAAGAAACCTCCAGCAGAACCAGGCTCAGTGTGAGCGGCCATCTGCTGAGGCCCACTGGGGTTCAAGGAGACAGAAGCAGACATAGAAAAAGAAGCATAGATACAAAAGGCAACTGTCAACCAGCTCCACAGGCGGCCCCGTCCAGGAAACACACAGCCAGGCAGACGAGCTCCGAGCCAGCTCCCATGTCAGAGGATGGAGAGAGCACATCCAGTTAGTCACAGTCAGAGAAACAGGACTACACTGGAAAACAGGCCAAGCTCCAACATCTAGAAACAAAGGTGTTGATGGCAGCAGCACAGCTGATATTGCGATATATTACTCACTACATCTTTAGAAAGTAATAATTAGAGGGATTGGATTATCAATGAACAATCAATATCTGAATTTACCAGCAAATGTTGTTTACACCAGTTCTGGTCTTGTGTTTGTTTAACTACAGCTAAATGATAATAATCATGATTTGTTTCTTTAATTGATAACAACCCCCTATCAGAGACATAGACAGGTATGGGGCATTACAGGCTAACAAAGACCCCAAACGACCCCCATTCCATAAGGGGGGACCCGTTCGTTCGTTTGAATGTTTTCTAAACATAAACCAGGCTTTGTTGGGCTGCTGGATAAAACC